GTGCTTGTTCTGAGCCCACACAGGAAACATAACAAGCACACAGCGGTCCACACTGATGATGACGAGGAGGAAGATGCTGCTGTACATGTTGAGCCACATCATGAAGTAATTGAACTTGCTCATGAAGCGCCCAAAGAACCACTCATTTTTGACCATATAGGCTATCCTGAAGGGCAGCGTGGAGCACAACTTCTTCACCTTAAATCCTGCAATTCAGATCACCAAACCATTTCCACCAATACCTAGGACACAGATGATGACATCAGTTGTTGCATAGAAAACAAAAAACACCGCTCTGCTCTGCAAGATGATGAATTTGTGGTGTGGTTCTTGTAGTCAGCATGTTCTGTCTGTGTCACTGGGGTTGAATTCATGATGCCTCTTGATTCTGTACAGCAAACACAAGTAGAAAATGTGCTTCTCTTGACTACTGAAAAGAAAGGAGCATATTATTGGTTTGTTGGAAGTTACCACATCCTCTACAAGACAAACTTTTTTGCCAAAATTTTGAAGAGTTTAACCTTGTTTAAATTGGAAAAAAATTGTGCCATATGTTATGCACAGTTCACATGTGTTCCTGTAGGTTAAATTCAGTGAAATAAACAAAAACTGTGCATTAAAATGTGCAGAAGTGTGCTATTCCCTTAGGAAATAAACAAAACCTCATTTGATTAGAGGTGCACAAACATTTTATATGACTGTATACACTTGTGATTGATATAATGTGAAATTTATAGTAGTGCTCCGCTATGCATCAAAATTTGGCATCTGTACAGCTGACTGTATTCTGTACATTTTGAAAGGTTTTAGTACACAAGGTTGATTTTGTACGCTAAAACCACTGCTCTCATTGGCCATCAGGCATCATGTAGGTGAGTCAAGTCTATTTAAACAGCACATTTTATACACAAAATTAATTTACATAAATAAAAGCAGAATGAAACTGGCATAAAGAACATCTGGTTTGTGTTTGAATGGAAACAACTTACTTGTCAAATGCTCCTTCAGTTCAGAGCTGCAGAGCTGATGATGAGGGACAAACTTTATGTATCGGGGAAATTGCTTAACTTTCATTGCCTTTCCACACAGCTCTCTCTGTGAGCAATGACCCTCAGCAATCCATGAAGAATTGTACTTCATTTTCTATGTAGACCCTTTTCTTTGATGGATGTCAGTCTTAATTGCCCAACATCAGTGTACAATCTCATTACTGCTTGTGTGGCTGAAAAGAAGTGAATTCCTTCAGCCATGTTACAAAATCTTCACTGAATTTATTCACTGTACAAAACTTCTTGAAGTTTTACATGTCATTGTTACTCTTGAATGTTCTTGAGATCTTTCTAAAACTCTCACTTTTGTTCAGTTTTACCAACTGCCTCATTTTGCATGCTATGTCACATTTTCAGCATTACACCACACTGTCATACCAAAAAAGAGAAAGGGCTACAAAGTTAGTTGTGATAACATGTTATGTTATTTTACCCCAGAAAATGTCATGACATTAAGTAATGTCATCAAAAATGATGTAACCTGACATAGTTATTGTGCCAGTTTGGCATCAAAGTTGACCAAAGCAGTTGTCATTAAGGGCTTATGTAGGTGACATGCTGCTTTCCATGCAGTGCCCTACAGTGAAATGTTACCAGAAATGCTTTAGACAGCTGCTGACACTACTTATGACAATAAAACCACTTGTGATGGTCTGGCAGACTTGTGGCTATGCTTAGAGTTGGGGTGCAAGAGGAGGTGTTCATTGAATCCCAGTGCTACAGATGAATATCTCCTGTGCAAAATAATTACTTTACTACAAATAGTTTAAATACACATGTATCGATTTCAGTATTTTATTCATGTAATTACACAAGTGTGTATTGATAGTTGTAGCAGGATATTTTCTGTCATATAATTGCATGTTTGATAGAGTGAACAGATTTCTAACAAGACTTTTCTAAATGTAATTCTGCATCTGCACAGGATACAGCAATTTTCCTAATATTTAGCCAGCTGTAGTAGAATTCCTGAGATCTAACCAAGTTCTGGCTTTAATCCATTCTGCAATGTGATGGTATTTGCATAGGAACACACCTTTAAAAGTAAATGTATGCAATTAATTAAATTCTATGTACTGTATAACTTAAAAGCAGTGTCTGGATTTTTAGTCTGTAATTTCACTGTACCTACAAAACACATGAACTGTCCACTTACAAACTACATCTTGTGGAATATTGTTGTTGTTACTACAGCTAGCTGAATTTTATTACAGATGCATTGTAAATACTTTTATAATAGAGGATATTACACTACTGTTAGAATCAGAAAAGTCCAGTTAGAAGAACAATAGTTCTTAAAATCACTCACTCTATTATACATGTGTAATTACATAACAGAAAATATGCTGTTTTACTTATGAAACATATATTTGTGTATTTGCTAATACATGTGTATTTGCATTATCTGTACTAAAATAATCCATCTGTAACAGGGGGTCCATTGCTAGTACTTACATTGTTTTGCATGCATTGTTCATGTGTTATTACACAGTTATAATAAACAATATTTTAGCAGCATTTCAATGACAAACAGAGAGGAGTAAAAGCTGCCATTGTAATATGTAATGAATTTGTCTACACTGCATATGTACAAGAAACTGTATGATAGTATTTCTGCTTATAATATTGTGTTGTAATACTGACACATAAAGCATTGGATATCATGAGAATTTGGCATACTTAAGACATATATTTTAAATGAACTTTATTGTTTTTACAAATATATGCATATACGAAATTTGATGCCTGCAACATGTTGCAAAAAAGCTGGGAGCATGTTTACCGTGTTAAATCATCTTTCCTTTTAACAGCATTTAATAATCATCTGGGGACTAAAGATACAAACTGATCTATTTTTGATGGCAGAATTTTTTGCTATTCTTCTGTTATACAAGTCTATACACAGTGTAGGGTGTGTACGTATAGTCAGGATACTCTGGTTCTGTTGTTGTGGTTGAATTCATGCTGCCTCTTGATTCTGTACATTAAACACATAAGTGTAGTTCTGTTGAGTACTGATGAAAACGGAGCAAAAAAAGTTTTATATATTTAAATATTTTATAATAAATATGACCTATTTGTTCAAATCTTTATGTATTTGTTAAGGTTTTCTTTTTAGGAAATTTAACATAACGTTTGCACAGTTCACACAGTATGTTTTTTTTTGTTAATTTTTATTTAATTTGTGTAAAATTTAGCACGTAAAAAGGAATTGTGCATTAAAATCTGCAGAAGTGTGTTCTCTGTAGAGGATGTGTTAGCTTATTGTCACCTAAATCCATAAAACATTGACATTTGACTAGGGAAGCACAAACTTTTACATCTGACTTGTTATACATATAGGATATGTAGTGTGAGTTTTATAGCACTGCTGCACTATACACTGAAATTTGGCAGCTGTACCGCTGACCTCTCACATCTGAATCAAATAAATGAAGTCAAACTCAACTGTGCAGAGAAAAACTGAGAAGCTGATGTTGATCTCCCCAATAGAGACACAGCTTAAACATGTAATCATATTCTGTATATTCTGTAAGATTTTGGTATACAAGGATAATTTTTTATGCTAAAGACCACTACTGTCATTGGCTGTGGGGCATAAAATATATTTATCTATTTATATAGCACATTTTATACACAACAGCAATTTACATCATTAAAACTGAGTAAAACCAGCATAAAGAACATCTGGTTTATGTTAAATGAAAATGACTCAACTATCAATGGCTGCTTCAGTTCAGAGCTGCAGAGCTGGTGGTTTTGTTGCTTATGATGAGAGACAAACTTCATCAGGAAGATTTCTTAACATTAAGTTCCTCTCTGTGCTCTGTTTAGTTCTAAGAATTGAACAGGTTGAAAACCACACAACTGTTTTTGCTGAAAAATGATCTTCAGCAAGCAAAAAGCTAGATACATGCCACGCAGGGGTAGATTAACTTGAGCATAGGCCCCATAAACCTGCCCTAGCTTTTCCTTTAAATGGTCAGGACCAGTGGGTCACAATTTTTTACTATACACTTCTACAACTTAAGAACAACTTTGCATTGTTGCAGCTCATATAATTAATGAATATAAGCCAATTAATAGAAAAAGCAATAGAAAAGCAAAACTACAGTCATATTTTTATGACAATTTATTTACTACAACAATTTACACACTTGCTACAACAATTAAACTATGTTTTTCTAATTAAAAATAGATGCTGTGCTATCTTACACATGCATAAAGAGTATAAGTTGAAAAGACCTTTAATCACATAAGCCATCTCAGTGGAGGGCAAGGACGAAGGCTGGGTGACAGTAGACCTTATTAATACAAGGCATGTTTGTTTATGTAGCATATTTCATTTACAGAGACAATTCAAAGTGCCTAAGTAAAACCAGTAAACATTATAATAAGAGATCAAAACCTAGAAGGAACATGAAGTTGGCTTGACAAAGCCAGCTAATAATGTGGAAAGGTTAAAGCAGTTGTAGACTGTTTTGGGTTTAACAGAAGCTAAGAAGAAGTAAAGTTTATTTCTAATGTATTGTAACATAGGTAGACATACAGGTAATAGAGGTTAAGCATCTCTGTTTTCATTCAACAGAATGAATAGATATTCTTAATATGAATGTTTATGCAGAATGTACCTAGATCTAATACATAAAATTAGCTTTACATCAATAGAGTCAATAGCATATCATCTACATTAACAAGTAACCTTAGAAGTAACCTTGCTCAAGAGAAAGTTTGATTATTCATGATGAAGTGTACTCCTGTCTGAGTTGCAAAATGCAAAACTTATTTGCATAAAGTAAAAATCTGCTGAATTTTTCACCAATAGCAGAGCAAATTTCAGTGCACCACAGCTGCCATGCAATGTTCAGATCTGGCAGAGGCCTCCAGTATAATGTGGAACATTCAGAAAGTCTTTTTTTTGAATATTCAATAACAACAAAGTGTTTAAAATTTATACAGACACAAATTAACTGAATTAAATATTTTTTGGGTGTAAACTTGAGAGTTAAGTTTGAGTTGGGAGTTTCTGATACTTCATGAAAATTTAAATACTAGTTGAATGTTGGTTTTCCCCACAGGTGGTGTAAACTGTCCCTTGGATGGTGTTCTGGTCCTCCTCCTCCTTGACCGCATTCTCAATCTTTGATCGAAAGGCGTAACATTGCTCCTTAACATCTTTCCCCATGAATGCATAAAGAAATGGGTTCAGGCAGCTGTTGGCACTGACAAGAATGAGACTAAATTGCTGTATGGATATCAATAAATCATATTTCATGTGTAATTTAATCAGAATAACAATGTGATATGGCAGCCAGCAGATCAAGAACGTAACAATCAGCACAGTCATGATCAAGAAGGGCTTTTTGGACCTCGCCCTCTGGTTAGATAGCTTTCTTATGATGACAGCATAACAGATAAAAATAAACAGGAATGGGATCACGAATAAAAAAACAAATCGGTATGTTACAGTGGCAATATGATTTTTCTTATAAATGTATCTGTCGATGCACAATGTTTGCTGCTTGTGACGAATGTCTCGGAAAACAAGCGATGGTGTGCTACATGCTGCTGCAATGATCCAACTTAGCATAACTATCACAGAGGCCTTTCTTACAGTGCGCTTGTTCTGAGCCCACACAGGAAACATAACAAGCACACAGCGGTCCACACTGATGATGACGAGGAGGAAGATGCTGCTGTACATGTTGAGCCACAAGGTGAAAGACCTGAACTTGCACATGAAGCGCCCAAAGGGCCAGTCTTTATTGATCATATAGATGACCTTGATGGGCAAAATTGAACAAAATATGAAGTCAGACACAGCCAGGCTCAGGTACCAGGTGCTGACGACTGACTTCTTCACCTTAAATCCTGCAATCCAGATCACCAAACCATTTCCAGCAACACCCAGGACACAGATGATCACATATGCTACTGCATAAAAAATACACGCTGCATCCCTGCAAGATGATGAGCTCATTGTCTGATTCATGGTGTCGTTCTTTGTTTCTGCCATTGGGGTTGAATTCATGATGCCTCTTGATTCTTTACACATTACACACAAAGAAACAAGTGCATTTCTGTTGAGTACTGATGAGAAAAGAGCAAGTGAATGTAAATACATTTAAGAGAGTAAAAAATGAAGTAAAAATAAATATGGCATCTTTTGTTCAAGTTTGTATGTATTTACTGAGTTTTTACTGTTTAATGTGCCATAAGTTTTGCACCATTCACATTTTAGATTTTTTTCAACATGTTAAATTCAGCAAATAAACAGTAACTGTGCATTCAAATGTGCAGTACTGTGTTCTCTGTAGAGAATGTGTTATCATTTAGAAAATCATCAAAGAATTTCATTTGACCAGAGGCACACAGACTTTTGCATAAGACTGCATGTTCCTATAAGGTATATAATTTGAGTGTTTTAGCATTGCTGCATCATATACTGAAATTTGGCATTTGTACTGTTGACTGAATCAGATAAACCAAGTCAATGGTATGGTAAAGACCACTACTCTAAATAAAACCAGCATAAAGCACATCTGGTTTATATTGAAGCAAAATGACTCACTTGTCAATGGCTGCTTCAGTTCAGAGCTGCAGAGCTGATGGTTTTGTGGCTTATGATGAGGGTAAGACTTTATCTATCAGGAACATTACTTAACATTCATTTCCTCTCTGTGTTCAGTTTAGTTCTAAGAATTTAACAAGTTGAAAACCACACACCACACTGTTTCTCCTGAGAAATGAGCCTCAGCAAGCATGAAGCTAGATACACATATTTTATAGATACATATAGTTCCCAATATTGTAAAGATGGAGGAAAGGTATTCTAGTAATATTGGTTATATTAGGTGTGAATTGCAAGACAAATCGGGATCGATGATGACACCAAGATTTTGTAACTATTGCAACTATTAGCCTTTTATTTGGTCAGGACCCACCAACGTGTCCAAATTTTTACTACATACTTCTCTAACCTAAGAATAACTCAGCTACTTTGCATTGTTGTAACCCACATAGTTAATAAATAATAAGAAAATGGTTTTAAACAGCAAAGGAGTGGTCACTGGACCTCATTTATGCAAAGCAAGTTTATCTGTGTAGCACATTTCATACACAAAGGCAATTCAAAGTGATTAAATAAAAGCAGCGTACATTAAAATAAAATAAATCAAAAGATCAAAATCGAGAAGCAGAGAATTTCATTAACAAGCTTTAAGCCCATGTGGGGCTCCAAATAAGGGGCCCAGTGGTGCCCAAACTAAGCCCTCATAGTATGTGCCCCTGGTTTCACAACAGATTTCACAACAAGCTTAGTTTGGGCTGCAACCGCAGAAGCTCTAACATGAGGCCTTGCACACACCCCTCGTTTCACATTAGATTGGGGCCCCACTATGTGCAGCCCACTTTAAGCCCCCATATAAGGACTTAGTGTGGGCTGCCACTAAATTTTAGAACACATTTTAGAAAAGTTACTTGTAAACCATAATCAGGAGCTAAAGCTTGAAGTGTCCACAGATATGGCTCACCAAGGCTTCAATGGTGTGTGAGGAACACCACTCCATGCTGCAAGGGAAGAATGACCAATGTCTAGGAATTTTGAACCTCAGAAACTTTTTAACCGCACAATCCTCAACCAAACATGCACATTCACAAAGACTACGGGATCTGCTAATATGAAAAAGAAATAAAATAATAAACAATAAAATAAACAGTAATTGCCATTAATGTCTTTGCATGCACTAATAATTTATGCATTTTTTATTTGTTTTCCATATTAGCAGACACATACTAACATGCACACCCAAATGTCCAATCATTTTCTCATGTTGTATTCATTTCTTATTCTTAAATATTTCATATTAATGTAACATTCAGCAGTGATGACTGCCATTCACTCGAACATGACAGAGTGATGTGGTGGTGTGACTTGAATGCAGGGAGGTATATAAACATACAGTTGTAAACTTATTCTAATATTGTCGTGTTCTGTATGCAGACATGATTTTCATTATGTAAATGTAATGTATATTCAATTCCATTTTTCCTGTAGCAAGAACCAAAAACAGACATAATAAATAAAAAAATAATTCTATAGTTGGGACGCTGTGCAAAATGTAGATAAAAACAAAATGCAATGATGTGCAGATCATTTAAACCCTATATTTCTTTGAAAATAGTACAAAGACAACATACCAAATGTTCAAATGTTGAAACTGAGACATTTTCTTGTTTTTGGAAAAATATATACCCATGATGAATTTGACACCAACAACACATTCCAAAAAAAAAATTGCTATTTGTATATATCAAAGCATTTTCATTATTTGGAGAATACCTCAGGTGAATGTAGAGTTTGTGTGTCTTCACCCCAGGATAGACTTCCAGCGCATGAAATCTTTGGTGTTAAATGTCCTGTGTTATGTTGTATTTGGCCAGTATTGTATATTGCATTTTTTTCGACCTGCTGCTAACCCAACATTATTGGGTAGCTCACTGCAGTTGGAGGAGAACACTCACTGCGAATATGTTGCCTAATAGAAGCCCTTGCTGACCAGCCTGATAAAGAGTGATGTGGAGAGACAGAGGGCCATCCTGTCCAGCAAGAGAGGGTGAGGCCAACTGTGCTCCTTTCGCAATGAACAGCTGTCAACTTGAGATCTCCTTATGAAAGAGGAAATGTGGTAACTTTACTGTAGGGTGCGTAACACTTACATTAGGCCATCATGACAACTGACACAAACATACTTTAATCATTTACAAATGCTTATTACTTACAAATGGTTTTACTAAACTCACTTAGCCTACTAGCAACTTTAGTTGCCATGAGATGTACATTTACATTATGTAGTCATTGAGCAGATGCTCTTAATCAGCACAAAATGTGCAAGCAGTGGAAGCCAAAGCAAAACAAAATACTATAGATTGAGACTGCAGTGATCATTATCCTAAAAGACAAGTCCATTTAATTTAGATTAATGTAGCTAAATAAAAACGAAGTTGAATTATGTCTAGTTTTATTCTTTTTAAAGCAAGTGAACAATAAAGCCAGGTTAAGTGCAGAGGACTGAATAAAAACACTTGATATTAAGTGGGAGAGAATGCAGAAAGAAGATGTTACTCTTCAGGCAATGACAGAAGAGTTAAGAGATTTTGCAGTGCAAAGTTAAGGGAGAAGTTTGTTCCTCCACTGAGGGGCCAAGACACTGAAGCAGTAAGACCTAACCTTACAGTCATGCTCAGAATTTTTTGGAGGGACATGTCAAGAATTTAGAAGGGGAAGACCTAAGCTGCTATGCAACTGAGCTTGAGGCAAAGGTTGTATCTGTTTCTTGCCTCAACAAGAAGCCTGTGGAGAGATCTCAGCAGAGGAGTCAGGGACAGTGCTGAAATTTGCATGCTGCACCTTTTTTTCTGTCTAATAAATAAAACTTTAATTATTACAAGATCCATCCATGATAGAATACAATTGTACAGCGAATTCTATACACACAAGAATTGTACTTTTCAATGTAGTCCCTCTCTTTGATGGATGTCAGGTGTAATTGCGCAACATCAGTGTGCAATCTCATTACTGCTCTTGTGGCTGAACAGAAGTGAATTCCTGCAGCCATGTTACAAAAATGTAGTGTAATGCATTGTAACTCTGTCATTAACATGGTAAAAAACATTAGTGTCAAAATCTTCACTGAATTTATTCACTGTACAAAACTGTTTATTACACAGGAGTTTTACAGGTGATTGTTATTCCTCAAAGTTCTTGAGATCTTTTTAAAACTCTCACTGTTGTTCAGTTTTACCGACTGCCTCATTTGGCAAGCTATTTCACATTATCAGCATTACACCACACTGACATACCAAAAAAAAAGATAAAGGGCTACAAAGTTAGTTGTGATAACGTGCTATGTTATTTTACCCAGAAAATGTCATGACACAATGCAATGTCATCAAAAATGATGTAACTTGACATATTATTATTGTGCCAACTTGGCATCAAAGTTGACAAAAGCAGCCTTTATGACAGCTGATGCCTTTTGGAATAAGCATTTATAAATGTTTATGTTTGTGTCAGTTGTCATTAAGGGCATATGTAGGTGCCATATAGCCTTCCAAACAGTGCCCTAGAGTAAAGTGTTACCGGACATGCTTAGACAGCTGCTGACACTACTTATGACTAAAAGTCAAACCACTTGTGATGGTCTGGCAGATTTGTGGTTATGCTTTAAGTTGGGGTGCAAGAGGAGGTGTTCATTCATGAATATCTTCTGTCCAAAAGAATTACTTTACTACAAATAGATTACCGAAGTGTGGCTTATGTATTAATGTAATTACACAAGTGTGTGCTGATTGTTGTAGCAGGATATTTTCTGTCATATAATTGCACATGTGAACAGTTTTTTTGTTTAACAAGACTTGTTTAATTGTAACACTAAATCTGCACAGGATACAGCAATATTTTCCATAATAATAATAAGCAATATTTTCCTAATATTTAGCCAGCTGTAGTAGAATTCCTGAGATCTAACCAAGTTCTGGCTTTAATCCATTCTGCAATGTGATGGTATTTGCATAGGAACACAAATTTTAAAGTAAAGGTGTGCAATTAATTAAAATATATGTGCTGTATAACTCTAACTTGAAAGCAGCATGCAGATCAAAATAATTTCAAGGACAAACAGAGAGGAATAAAAACTGCCATTGTAATGGGTAATGAATTTGTGTCTACACTGCACATAAGGAATAAATATATGAGAGTATTTCTGCTAATAATATTGTGTTGTAATATTGACATATAAAACATTTGATATCATGAGGCGTACTGAAGATACACATCTTAAATTAACTTTTTTTTTTAATATATGCATATTCCACATTTGATGCCTGCATCACATTGCAAAAAAAAAAAAAGTTGGGAGCATGTTTACTGTATTACATCATCTTTCCTTTAAACAGCACTTAATAATCATTTGGGTCTGAAGGCACAAGCCAATCTATTTTTGAAAGCAGATTTTTCTGTTATACAGATCTTCAGCTGTCCAACCATATTGGGGTTTTTGATGTCATATTTTGAGCTTAATAATACATAAATTCTAAATTCGAGAGTTCTTAGAGTTCTGGACTGCAGGCAGGCCAGTCTAGTGCCCGCTTTTACTGATTACATAACCATGCTGTTGTAAGTCAAGCAGAATGTGGCTTGGTTTTGTCATGTTGAAATAAACATGGGGGCATAAAAGGCAGCATTTTTTTCTTCAGGGCAGAGTTTGCTGTGCTACAGCTGCCATGCAATGCTCATATCTGGCAAAGCTCTGCACAGTGGAACTTTACTGTTCAGTAAAAGACTTTTTTTGATTAATTTGGTTTGGTTAATTATGTTTGGTCCATTAGCAGTTAAGGTGTCCTTTTTGTGATACTCAGTAAAAACTAAATGCTAGTTGAATGTCTGCTTTCCCCAGAGGTGGTGTAAGCTGTCCCTTGGATGGTGTTCAGGTCATCCTCCTCCTTGACTGCATTCTCAATCTTCAACCAAAGAGCATAACATTGCTCCTTAATGTCTTTTCCCATGAATGCATAAAGAAATGGGTTCAGACAGCTGTTGGCACTGG